TATTCTAGGTACCCTTTATAACGTTATAACGGGTATTCTAGGTACCCTTTATAACGGGTATTCTAGGTACCCTTTATAACGTTATAACGGGTATTCTTTCTACCCTTTATAACGTTATAACGGGTATTCTATGTACCCTTTATAACGTTATAACGGGTATTCTAGGTACCCTTTATAACGTTATAACGGGTATTATTGGTACCCTTTATAACTTTATAACATTATAACGGGTATTCTAGGTACCCTTGTCCTTTTCGCTGTATTCTACCATGTGTTTCGGAAACCTTAGACATGGATGTTGCAGTATCTTTATGAAACCACTGAAGTTAAACTGATGACGAATTGGCCATAGTTTGCAGTTACTGTTTACTTTGTGTGGCTCTCTGCGTCTACGAAAACAACCTTTTTAATATTCATTTAATTACATATCTGAATACAAGTATAAACTTGATTGACATTATAACGAAATTTTCCACTTAACAGTTGATGAATTCGAGATACGTAGAAGTGAGGGCAGATATTTGTATGCAAAAACAAGTACAGATTTAATGGATCAATGGTTAAATTAAAAGTAGATATGATGTCGAAATTCATATCAAACATTAGTACTATGCTATTCTGATGCTGGGAGAAAAAACAGCGCTTCATGATGAGATATCTGAGGTAATATAATAATTGCTTTCATATCAAACCTTGGCACCCCTGCATATCGGGGACTACGAAAATAGCATACCTGCTGTTACATGTACCAACTGTTGTAACCAAATGTTATAAGAGGCGACTAATGTGGACATCCCCGATAGATTTGGAGATATACGTTTGTGTCATGTCCTTTGGAACACAACAGCGACCTAAATATATCTGCTGCACCTTACTCAACATTTGGTATATTTTTCTTGTTTTTCTCTCTGTTTCCTACCGTCAAATCTGTTTCATAGCCCCTCTCTGTGCAATACCACGTGCTGGCCCTGTTGAACGTTCGCCAAAGGTAGGAAGTCGATTGGATCTGCTCCAAGGAAGGAACAAACCAAGCTCCGTAAAGACGGGTAGTTGTTATTATAACGGTCTTCCCCTCTGACCTTTTACAGTTACCCTTTATTAAAGAAACCTTAATCAAATATCAAATAACAAGTACAACAATTCTTCAGACTCTCTTCACAAACCCTCTCATATCAAATGTACAACAAAGTAAGACTAATTTCTGAACCCTGAATAACAAAACAATCTGTGTAGAATATATGTAGGGAACAGACAATGCAAAATATTAACCAAAGGAAATCAATAGAAATTGCTATTGCAACAAAAATGATTGGGAAAATACTGCATTAAATATGAGACAACGCAGCAAATGAATAAAATATAGATCCCTTACCCAAAACTAAACATGACGACAGACTCGGTTTTGATACAATCCAAAAGGGAAGTAGCTGCCAGCAGCGCAAACAACAATCTTACCATATGAAAGCCCAACTGCAACTGATTTCCAAACGAATCTCTACGCTCCACAATAAGAGGAAAGCATCAACGGGGAAACCCACGAGCTCACGGGCAACGCCCCTTCCCCTGCTGACACCCGTTGTCCGCTACGTAGTACCCAAGTGATACCCAAACCCAATTATCATTGGCTCTTGTATATAGGCCTACAAGCTTCCTTCATATTATTCACATTAACAGCATTTGTGTACCGATCTTCAATGACTCGCAATTACTTCTAATGAATCCCATATTTCCATTAATTTCAATACACAACGTAATAACAACGCACGTGACCCCGACTGACACAGTTAAAACGGTCAGACGAATTCACAAAAATGGCGGCGCCCATTCACACTCACAAGGTCCACTCTCTATGCCGAAAAATGACCTGTCTCGCTCTTTGAAAGCAACACTTGAAGAAGAGTAAATACCGTTAAAATGGACATTGTTTTTAAGATTCTGTGTTCTGAGGACATTTACATTCAACTTACAGTCTACGGCTGTTTTGACTCTACCATGTGACGTAGATGATACATAAAATATCACGTTTTACATTATTGCCCGCATTACGTTCAGCATTCAGGGTACACGTAACCACTGGTAACCCTGCTGTCAGTTGTCAGTATAATATGATATGGTGGAATACTTTGCTGGGTACCTTCGGTATTGTTTCAGTGAGATTGACATCTAGGACCGGCATCAGATCTGTGCTACCGCAAGGTGGCAACTACGTGTACATCAAAATGCCGCCTCAATGAAACCTACAACATAAGGGGCCGCTGGTCGGCTATTTCTATTTTAACTGGATATGAATAGGCCGACTGCAACCTCTTATTTCAGAGTAATCTTTTCATTGGCGCAGGTTCCGCTCGAAATCCGGGGGGGGGGGGGTTGTGTACTCACAGTTCATGTAATCTAGATCACATTTATATCATACAGACACAAAACTATTGTATATTACAATGCATGACTTTGTCGTGCTTACAATTTGTATCATGCAAAACAACAGCTAAGTTCAAACGGAACGAAATTAACCGATTTTAGGAATCAGAAAGAAAAAACATTCCGCTTGATGAACATAGCATGTAATCCATTTTTAAATGTTTCGGGTTTTTTCGTGTTTTTTTTTATTTTGTCCCCGACAGTTCCGAGTTAGGTAGATCTACATATATGGCAAGAAACAATTATTAGATCCTGTTGAATTCAGAATTGCAAATTAAGACGCTTTTTTTGTCAAAATCCAAACTTGAAATTTTGAGATTTATCATTGGAAAAATAAGCTAAAGGGAAGTTAAAAGCTTAACGATACTTATCAAAAGTATCGCGCCATGTAAAACCTCGTACATTGTTGAAGTAATATACACATAATTATGCACGCATACATTAAACTCATGTCCTTAATTAACCTTAGCTGTTAGTAGGACGCTAAACCTTATAAGAGCAAAGTAAATAAACCTTGAATCATTTTGTTTTCTTTTCTGTAATTTTCATTTGTATATTGATAAGCTCCATGTTTACTAGCGATTCTTATACGTTTTTTTGTCCACGTTTTAAAGCATTTCAGAGCTGAGCATTAAGTTAGACTAGTTTAAGACTTGAATTACGGCTGATATAGTCAGGGAGGCGGACTGATATCCAAGTCATTACGCTTGTGATATCGAAAGTTGGAATTAAATTTCAATTTATTTCAATATAATAATGTTATCTATAACATATACAATTGTAGTGCCATACTAAGTAAGTCTACGTGGTTATGTATTAAAAATCTCACTCAAAAGATCAGGTGTGTAGTAACTCTACATACACATATACACGGTAAACAGTCGTGGTACAGGTTAATAACACTACACAACCCTATCAGCATATCAAAGAGAAAACTACAAACACCAAAATGTCTGCCAGCCATTACATATGCACAGTTGTGTCATAGTCATTTTACACTTGTGTATCCAAACACATATTGGAATATGAGTAATAGTCACTTTATATACACATGCACAGTTCTGTAAACGTCCTATCAAATGTGAATAGCGCAAGACATACACCTCTACACTTTTCCACGAGTCAATCATCTGACGTTCTGTTTTATCATTAATTAACATTGCAGCTATCATTTTGTTCCTATTGCTGTCACGATCAGCTGGTTAGCGTCGTGGATGATTACAGCTGAGCCATTCAATATTTAGTTCGATCATTTTAAGTAGTGGACACAGTTTGATTACAGATCACTGATCGCAGAACTTATACACTTCGAACGCCGCCTCTTCTGCATCTGAAGTTACAACGATCTCTTGTTTGGTGGGATTGACAATGACGGCCAATGGTTTGGTGATGCCGGATAATTTTGGAAGAAGTACCCTGCTCTTGGATCCGTCTGCAGACACCAGATGGACGTTCCCGGAGTCACTGCAACCTATATACACGTTACCGTCCTGATCTACATCAATGCCACGTACTTCTCTCATACCCTGATACGAGTGTCGAAACATCTCTTCCTTTCCAAATGACTGGCACACAATGACGTCATTATCCCTGTAATAGACATCTCCCCGTCGTGATACGGCGATACATGTATCACCGCCATGGGTCTTCATACACTTAACTTGTTGTCCGTTTATCGTTATAACCTGTATTAAACCGAAAGACCCGACTATGATGTTGTCCCCGAAAACAGCTAAGCTGCATATAGCCGTCGAGGTACTGATCTTGTCGACCATGTTCAGGACACCGTCATGTAGTGTATACCTCAAGATTGTTTTTGTGGTGTAAAATGACACCAACACCTCACCAGCTGTATAACCATGTGCCATGTCAGAAGGAGCGTCATCCAAGTCATAGTGTGTGACATCGTTATAGTTATCATCAAACAGTAGAAGTCTATCGTTATAGCAATCTGCAATAAGGAGACCTTCCCCCTCAACAAACACTCCACCGGTAAACTTATCCTTCATTTCTCCACCAAGTGTATTGCCTTGTACTGACTTGACCAGAGACAGACACCCAGTCCAAGCGTTGATGCGCTGCGTTCCTGGCGAAGGCTGAACTGTCGTCCTTTTTACAGTGCCGACCAAATCAGACGAGGACGAGGACGAGGACGAGGATAACGACGGTATGGTCTGAAGTGTGTCAATCATCGTCCCAATAGAAGTGAGTGTGTCTTGTGACGACGATGACACGGAAGACGACACTTCCAAACACCCCACAGATGTCATCGAGTTGATATTTTCCAGTGTTTCGTTATAGTTTATTTTTATGTCGAAAGTGTTGTGTCTACCTCTGGTTTGCTGCTGGAATCTTCGAAAGTGTCGCGTGAGCTGTGTTTTAGATTGTTCTTCAACAATGAGTTTTTGACGGTCGGATCCTTGTTCATTTATCAGCGTCAATAATTGACAAGTGTTTCGCAAATTTGCTTCAAATTCCTGGTTGGTACGCAAGAGTTTCGATAAACTATTTTTATCACGTTTGTAGGTTTGTTCGAGGTTGCCTTTGAAACGCGCGTGCAGATCATCCAGTTTATTTTTCGCTTTTTGTATCACTGTTGTCATATTACTGGTCATGGTCTGAAAGTTGGAGTCGAGAGAGTTCAATTTGTTTTCGTCCTCGGCCACGATACTCTTGGTTTTATCCGTCATCTTGTCAAGCTCGTCTTTGAGGTGTCCCTGCGTAATGTTTTTCGCTACGTCGTCAAGACTCCTCACGTGCTTGCACGCTCTGTGTGACAATGTCGCACACAAAACACAACAGAGGGAGTTGTGGTCAAGACAATACAATTCCAATATCTTTCCGTTGTGTTGGGAACAAGTTTCCTTAATGTCTAGATGTAAGTCCAAACCTCTGGTCCCTTTAATCACACCTATCTCAACAACCTTGTGTTGGGAAAGGAATCGGTTTTTTCTGTGTAAAACTATGCATTGCTTGCATAGGGCTTCCATACAATTACAACACCAGAACTGTGCGAGGTTCTTTTCGTCATCTGTGAGACAGCAATGACAGAAAGGTTCTCCTGTCCCTGTGTCATTCTGAGATGTACACACCGGACTTCGGGGAGACGAGACGCCCAGGAACTGACTGGAGCCTCGGGGAGACGAGACGCCCAGGAACTGACTGGAGCCTCGGGGAGACGAGACGGCCCAGGAACTGACTGGAGCCTCGGGGAGACGAGACGCCCAGGAACTGACTGGAGCCTCGGGGAGACGAGACGCCCAGGAACTGACTGGAGCCTCGGGGTTTGGAGGACAACACGGATTTTCACATACGGGACATGGCACGTACCGTCTGTTGTCAGCGATCACGTGTTCCTTATGAATGTAAGTATTAAGACAATCTGTGCAAAATACATGAAAGCATGGCAGCTGACGGGGTACGTTACAGACTGCCAGGCAAAGCAGACACCTGTAGTCTGGTTTGGTTTCACGTGTCTTGACCTCGGCCATTATAGTCGCCGTTGGCTGAAAGTTAACAAATTAAAAAATACAACATTTCACCACATCATATTTGTTTGATATTGTTACAATTTAAATCTAGAAAAAATAAAATGTATGTTTTAGAAATGCACCCTTAAATGGCTCTATGGTGCAGGCTATACCGGTTAACCGAGTTTTCTATATTTCTTAAATGGAAGATTTGTCCTTTAGTGTAGTTAAAAAAGAACCGATATTAGATTTCGGGGCACTCTAGCCATGTTTTGTTTTATTCTTTTGAACTGAAGTGTACATATTGTGCAGCAAAATGTTATATTTCTGCATCCAATTACTAAATTCAAAAAGATGCCTAGTTAAGTCGTATTTCTTGTGATAATTGTGTGTCATATTTATGGTTTCCACTCCACTGGTCTCTGAGGCTGTCTCTAACCTTGAATCTGAAATGTGGTTTGGCACAGATTACAGAAATTCCTATAATTTACTCGGATTAGCTGAATAACAAATCTATTTCCTTCATCAATTCTTACCCTTAATGTTGCTGTTGTAATTTTGAAATTTTCATCATAAGTTTAGGTTAGAATGGTGGTTTTCATGTTTTAATTAAAATTTATTGTATTTTTACTGGTGAAATATCATACATTATCAATTTGATAAAAACCTTATATCTTCACTGTAGTAAAAATATACGGAATACTAAGTGTTGACATGTGAAGATAAGTATCAGCCTTGTTTCGACCACTACTAACTATACTGTCTATTCAGGGCATTCAAAGCCGCACATTTTCAGATTCCGATGTAGATAAGGCGACAAGTTGTAGCTTTGTTACATCGTTTCTACCAAAACTGTGGAACTGGCGTATTCATTCAATTGATAACATTATTGTAAGCACATTTTTACAAGATAAAGAAGAAAACAAAATTTGTGCTTCTGGTAGCAAATTTAAAATGGCACATGCAACGTTCTTCTCACGTGTGACGACAGTAGCATATGGCGTCAATTTGTATGACGCTACTTATTCCCGTACTTATTATGCATTATTAGTTTCGTAGTTTCACTTGTTAGAAAAGCAAATCTTATTATTTAACAGTTTAATACTATACATATATTTCAATGATAAGGCAAACAATTACCCATATCATTTGTACTATTCTTGGTATTCGAAGGGATAACTAAATCCCATTTGTATATTATATGATACAAATACATTTTATTTTTTTAATCAACCAAAGATAAATTTTCAATAAAAAAGATGTGAATTATCATTATGAAATTCTCCAGACATTGTTGTTTTCAATCAAAAGGATCTTGGAAATTTGAATATTTATATTACATGTATCTATAATTGCACCAAAGGAAAGAATGAAACACCTTGAAGTATAACCGCCAACATTATATTTTTCAATTGTATATCAAGTTAAAGATATTACACAGTAAAAGCAGTTGAGGCCCAGATTTTGGCACGTGAATGTTAAGTTGTGCTGTGTATTAGAAGTCACGGGAACGGTCCTGACAGACAACCCCATTCATGATCGACCAGGTATATCCGACATAACAAAACGCGAGCTATGAGGGGCGGTTAGAGTTCCTGCTAACGCAGTGGTGTTTGTATTCAAATTGTGTGCACACACAGATATATAAAAGAGTGATCGGGTTACCTCGAGAAATGTTTGATATTATTTCTGGAATGTGTAATTATGTATTTTTTCTTATATATAAAGTTTAAAAACATACATGTTAGTAAAACATGAACGTCTCATTGACTATACAATTTTTACTTATCATTTGGGTATGCAAAGGTGGGATATTTCATATAACAAATTGATTATTGTATTTTTTCATCAGTAACTGAGTATTACATAATTACACGGTTCAGGTTGGTACGAGTTTTTTTTCTTTATCTCAATCGCAACAACTTAAGGCATTACAATTGCCCTCCGTCGCGGGAAGGTAATACAGGATGCACAATTTCAAATGCATGTGAAGATGCTTTACCGTAAATTAAGAACTGCTTCCTATTAACTTTTGGTACTTGTGATTGAACAAATTCATAGGAAGAAAAACAACCTAATTGTTGATTCTATGATATTTATACATATGCTATACAATATATAAGAACTAAATATCTAACAGTTGATGACCAGGTAGCTGTGTCGGTTAGAGCGATAGTATAACAATCTGAAGTTCGGGGTTCGAATCCCGGTGTAGTCTAGATTTTTATTCCCAAAACACTGTTGTTGATTAAGTTTTGTTATTTGGCTTCATTATTTCTTTTAAAAACATCCCGAAGGGTTTTGTTTATCTCAGAAATGATTTATATAAGGTATAGTCATACCGAAAAAAACAGTTTCCAACAGTTTGTTAGAAGTTTTGGCAGCTGAAACGAATCTCTAATTACAAAAATGTAACAGCATAACCCAATGTTATTTTATAGAAACCTGATTTTCAGTCTTTCAATATAGTTACAATAATTACTTCCTGGTAGTTCTGGCGTCTCAGCACAGAAACCTGATTTTCAGTCTTTCAATATAGTTACAATAATTACTTCCTAGTAGTTTTGGCGTCTCAGCACTGGTATTTCCATAATACATTGAAAATACACACATACATTTTAGGTCTGTAGTACTATATGTGTGCATTGTCTGCGCACAGGTTAACAGGGTTCACATGCAAAATTACAGGAAAGACTCGGGTTACCCTGATGTTTTCAAAATAACCTACAGCTTATAATTTCTATGTATTAAAATGGCTGTTAATATATAATTGATTGTTTTAATCGATCCAATGTGATTTACAGTACTTTCAGTTTTGAAATGTTGCTCAAAGGTAAAACAGTGATATCTACATGTAGTTACAATAATTACGTCCAGTATGAACTTCCTGGTAGCGCTGGTCTCTCAACTCTGGTATCTCCATAAGGTAATACAAATACACACAAATATTTCAGGGGAGGTAATGTCCATTTACACCATCGAACAACACACTAAAACAGCCGAGCCAAACTTATTAATGGTGAAAATTAAAAAATCTGACGAAATTCATCTGATGAAATATAAATTTAAAAAAGTAAGGTTACATGTTCAGGACACAGTGATGGCTACGTATTATAGATGTAAAGACTGTGATTTTTTTTTTGTACAAACAAAATATGGGGTCCCGATGCAAAATATATAAAAAGACTCGAGTTACCCTGATGAATAGAGGCTGTTGACACTGATTGTTTATCGTGGTAAGCGACGGTTATTAACATCTTATGATGCAATAGTCTTTGTTAAGCTTTCTGCGTCGCCGATGTATCTTTATAAATAGTCTGTGGCTCTTTACTTAACACATTATATTGCGTTAGAAATATTCGAATCTAAACAGTATTGCTTGAAACAAGCTTAGCTTAGCGTATCCACCGACTGATATCACATATCCATCAGTGTGACATTGTCTACACAAGTTTCCATGGACAACATTACCGAAATAACCACACAAGTTTCCATGGACAACATTACCGATCCAATCACACAAGTCTTCATAGACAACATTACCGAATCAATCACACAAGTCTTCATGGACAACATTACCGAATCATCCACACAAGTCTTCATAGACAACATTACCGATCCAATTACAAAAGTATTCATAGACAACATTACCGATCCAATCGCACAAGTCTTCATAGACAACATTACCGAATCAACCACACAAGTCTTCACAGACAACATTACCGAATCAATCACACAAGTCTTCATGGAAAACATTACCGATCCAATCACACACGGCTTCATGACAACATTACCGAACCAATCACACAAGTCTTCATAGACAATATTACCGATCAAACCACACACGTCTTCATGGACAACATTACCGATCCAATTACACACGTCTTCATGACAACATTACCGATCCAATCACACAAGTCTTCATAGACAACATTACCGAATCAACCACACAAGTCTTCATAGACAATATTACCGATCCAATCACACAAGTCTTCATAGACAATATTACCGATCAAACCAAACACGTCTTCATGGACAACATTACCGATCCAATTACACACGTCTTCATGACAACATTCCCGATCCAATCACACAAGTCTTCATAGACAATATTACCGATCCAATCACACAAGTCTCCATAGACAATATTACCGATCCAATCACACAAGTCTTCATAGACATTATCACCGATCCAATCACACAAGTCTCCATAGACAATATTAACGATCCAACCACACAAGTCTTCATAGACAACATTACCGATCCAATTACACAAGTCTTTATAGACAACATTACCGAATCAATAAGAAAAGTATTCATAGACAACATTACCGAATCAATCACACAAGTCTTCATAGACAACATTACCAATCAAACCACACAAGTCTTCATGGACAACATTACCTAATCAACCACACAAGTCTTCATAGACAATGTTACCGATCAAACCACACAAGTCTTCATAGACAACAGTACCAAATCAATCACACAAATCTTCAGGGACAACATTACCGAATCAATCACACAAGTCTTCAAGGACAACATTACCGAACCAATCACTCAAGTCTTCACAGACAACATTACCGAATCCACCAAACAAGTGTTCATAGACAACATTACCGAATCAATCATACAAGTCTTCATGGACAACATTACCGAATCAACCAAACAAGTCTTCATAGACAACATTACCAATCAAACCCCACAAGTCTTCATAGACAACATTACCAAATCAATCACACAAATCTTCATTGACAACATTACCGAATCAATCACACAAGTCTTCAAGGACAACATTACCGAACCAATCACTCAAGTCTTCACAGACAACATTACCGAATCCACCAAACAAGTGTTCATAGACAACATTACCGAATCAATCACAAAAGTATTCATAGACAACATTACCAAATCAATCACACAAATCTTCATTGACAACATTACCGAATCAATCACACAAGTCTTCACTTACAACATTACCGAATCAACCACACAAGTCTTCATGGACAACATTACCGAAG